ATGTAAATACCTAAAATCAGCCAATCACACGCAGCGGCTCAGTGCAAGTAGGTTTTTAAGGATGGTCACAATGACTTGCTAGTTCAAACCAGTTCAAACCAAGCTAGCATCACAATGGGGGAAGAAAGATGATTCAAGTGACTCTGAACGTGGTTGCTGGTGTCAGATAGGCTGGTCTGAGTGTTTCAGAAACTGCTGATCTATTGGGATTTTCCCACACAAACATTTCTAGGGTTTACGGAGTATGAAAAAGAGAAATTATGCAGTTTCTCTGGATGAAAAGCCTTGTTGATGTCAGAGGAGAATTGCCAGACTTGCTTCAAACTCTGGAAAACAACAGTTACCGAAATAACCACTCATTACAACAAAGGTGTGCAGAAGAGCATAACACTGGATACACAAAACCTGAAGCAGTTACACAGCGGACGACCACACTGTGTGCTACTCTTATCTGCAAAGAACGGGAAACGGAGGCTACAATTCACACAAACTCACCAAAATTGTACAACAAAAGACTGGATAAATGTTGATCTCATGAGTCTAAATATCTGCTCCCACATTCAGAATCCTGATCAGAATTTGGTGTAAACAAGATGAAAATACTGATCCATACTGTCTTGGATCAGTGGTTCAGACTAGCGGTAGTGGTGAAAAGATGTGGGGATATTTTTCACCATGCTTTGAGCCCCTTAATATCAACTGGGCATTATTTAAACACCACAGCCCACCTGAGTACTGTTATTGACCATGTCCATCCATTTGTGACTACAATGCACTTATTTGTGGATAGCTACTTCCAGCAGAATAATGTGCCATGTCACAAAGCTTGAATCATCCCAAACTGTTTTTTTGAACATGACAATAAGTTCACTACACAAATGATCTCCATGGACACTAGATCTCAATCCAGTAGAGCACCTTTGGGGTGTGGTGGGTCAGGAAATGTACATCATGGAGCGAGTGTGTGATGCTGTCACATCAATATGAACCAAAATCTCTGAGGAGTGTTTATAGCACCTTGTTAAATCTAGGCGATGAAGAGTTTAGCTGGTCCAAACTTGTACTAGAAATTGTGAGTGTACTCTAGATCCCAGTTTGTTGGCATCTAAGTGAGGAAAACTACACACAATGCTCCAACAAATACAATACTTAGTATGTGCAAGTAGTGTTTATTTTTTTCTCTCATTAAAAACAAAAAGTGAAGAAACAAACAAAAACAACCCTAGGGAGAGCTGGTTGCCCCTTTGGGAAACCTTGCCTTGGTAATGACACAACAAGCCTACGCTATGGATTTTTACCAAGGCAACTCCTGTGCAGGGTGTCATAATGAACTTGTTAGTCATGTTCTGGTAAGTGATCATGAGACTGTTTCTTAACCTCCAATTTTCTGGAATGTTTTAATGACATAGTAAAAAAAAAAAAAAAATAGATGAATCATTCCACGTGATCAAAGGTGAGTCAGCAGATCTTGTTACAAACCACAAACAGGACCAAAGACGTATGAACTAGTTAGTATTATCACTTCTAAGTTGACTTTGTTCACATGTGAATGAAAATGATGAAAAGGATGTTTTGAAATTAAACAAAATAAAGTCAAATAGGCTCACTAACACTGGGGTACGTGCTCTGATGTTCTGCCTCTTGGCCCCTCCCACACCCCCGCCAGGTGACGTCACTAAGTGCTAATCTACAGGCGCCTGAGTCGAAACATTCAGTCGTGTCTCTCGTTATCGGACAGTGAAGGTTACCTGCTTCAACAGTGCTTGAACGGCAACCTTTCAACTGTCTTTATACAGCACAGCACGGGACCAGTCGCTCCGATACATCGAGTGAATTTAAACTTGAAACATTAGCTAGCTTAGTCAGCCTTGAAAACCACCTAGCTCGGAAGCTAACTCTTTGTTTTGCTAACAACGCACTGCTTCGACCTCCTCTCAACAAGACCTGCCACTGAAATTTGGTAAGGAAACGTTCCCTATGTTTTCTTTTCTTATCGTTATGTTTGATTATAGATTCCAGGCTGCCATTGGCTTTGTAGTTTGATAATACTAGTTCGATTTATCCGCTTCAGGTCGCAGTCAGTGTGGGCCTGTACGCATTTGGCTGCCCAAGCTTTGCGCAGTGTTTTCAGCGCCATGTGTGGCTTCCTTCAAACACCTCGTACTAAATAAATATTTACTTTATTTAAACAAGTCGAGCTTTAACCAGATTCATACTTTGCGTTGTGACTTATGTAATTGTTAAGGCCTGTTTTAATGGTAAAGAGTGCAAAGTTTAGCAGATGTTTTCATGAAACTTTTTTTTTCTGATTTTTGCCTTACGTAACGTACATGGCCTAGCCCAGTGATACTGTTTGATGAAAGAATCTCGTTCGTCAAACATCAAAAATACTGAGCAACACAATCAGTATTACGCAGCTGTTATGAGGTGTGACACTTATAAGTCGAGCTATTGTCTGAGGTTCGTGGGCCAAACCCCAGAAATGTATTTAAACACAGTAAAAGGAGCCTATTTAAAAAAAATAAAATAAAATTAATCAGAACCTTTTCACTGCTCTTGAACTCATCCTACTCTAATCACATTTGCAAATAGTTACTGATGTAATTGTGATTTTTATGTTTCAGAACCATGAGTTCCCAGGTCAGACAGAACTTCCACCAGGACTGCGAGGCTGCAGTCAACAGGCAGATCAACCTGGAGCTGTATGCCTCCTACGTCTACTTGTCTATGGTAAGAGCAATCCATGGTGCACGGTCAGATTAAAAAGGGTTATTGAAGGACAACTCAGTGGAAAGTACCAGTCTGTAACATCTGGTGACATTCGGGTAATCGTGCTCAGAGAAAAGGGAAGTGTGAGTAGATTTTATTTATAACCAAGAAGTGATTTTAATTCCTTTTAACTAGGCTGCTATGTGGTATAAGTGCTGTGCTTGGTTTCAGTCCAGGTACAGCCATTTAGCTGAGAAAAAGGCAGGGGAAGTGGTTTCGGAGGTGTTGAAGCAGCCTACTGCCATTTAAAATGGATAAATAACCCACTATCAGAGCAAGCTGCTTTTTAAACAGGATTAGTCAAATATAAGGGAGGTTTTTAAACTGAGGGGATATTAATGTTTAGGTATTGAATTAAAAAAAAGTTGAAGTTCCTTTGAGTATGTATAAAGAACAGGCAGGCAACTATGGTTTCTGTCCTCTGTATGACAAGTCCTTTTTGTTTGTAATGGTTTTGGCAGGTAGATTTTAAAAACCTTACCTAAAGTTGACAAACTTTCTTCCTTACAGTCCTACTACTTTGATCGTGATGACCAGGCATTGCACAACTTTGCCAAGTTTTTCCATCATCAGTCGCATGAGGAGCGTGAGCACGCTGAGAAGCTAATGAAACTTCAGAACCAGAGAGGTGGAAGGATCTTCCTCCAAGACGTCAAGGTATGAGATTTGTGAAAACAAATGGACTGTAACTTATGTTAACTTCTGGCTGAGTGTGAGATTGTTCTGGGCTTTCTTAAGCTTCACATAGGGACAGAGAGATACCAAGGGCGTGGGCGTGCAGAGTCTCTTATCGCTTTCGGGCATGCAAACATGACCGCCAGAACTCGAGTGAAACGTTAAACCGCAAATCTGCTTTACATATTCAGGAAGCTTGTTTTTTAGGTCAGGTTGGTGAACGTTTATCTTTCATTAATAAATGTCTCACTTGTTTTTGGGTTTTGTTTTTTATGATGCTTTAATTGCAGAAGCCAGACAGCGATGAGTGGGGCAGCGGTGTCGAGGCTCTTGAATGTGCCCTGCAGCTCGAGAAGAGCGTGAACCAGTCACTGCTGGATTTGCACAAACTCTGCTCTGAACACAATGACCCACATGTGAGTACTAAAATATGGTGTGTATGTTACACAGCAAAGTGCAGTGAGAAGGAACACCAAAATTAAATTGTGAACACACGTAAAACATGCTGATTGGCTGTACACCTGCAAATCTGGAAATCCATTTTATTTTTTGTGTAATATAAAAACATAGGTGACTCTGATGTGGCCTGTATGACATTTATTTTTAAAGTGTACGTATAATGCAGGAGATGTCTCGCCTTGTTTTTTTTTTTTTGTTTTTTTTTTTGTTTTTTTTTTGTTTTGGTGTCGTCTTATTAAACGAAACGGTCTCTTTCAGATGTGCGACTTCATTGAGAATCACTACCTGGATGAGCAGGTGAAGTCCATCAAAGAGCTGGCTGACTGGGTGACCAATCTGCGCCGCATGGGCGCTCCCCAGAATGGCATGGCGGAGTACCTGTTTGACAAACACACTCTTGGCAAAGAGAGCAGCTAAATCTCTCACACCACATTTACTACAGCTTATGTGTATTTGTATCTTGCTTCAAAATGAAAAGCCATCTGCATGTTGCTGGTTAGACCTTTAAAGTTATTACTCATGTTATTATTAGAAGCCCCTGTGAGTTTGTTCAAACCCTCCCTATATCTTGCATGTCTCTCTACAATTAGAAACGCTCGTCATTGCTACATATTTGCTGTATTTTAAAGCCTGGAGGTGTTACTCAGACCAAATAAACCAACCCTCTGGATTCTGAACAGTTTTTTGTCTTTCATGTTTCTGTGATGGTAAAAGTGCAAAAAAACCTGCCTACACCAAACATCAATCTGTTTCAGTTTCTTCTCCAGAGAAAATAAATTGCAGCTGATTGCCTTCAGATAAAAATTCACACACGTTGGAGCTAAATGGCACAAATGTCAGGTCCGTTTTAAATTTTCAGCAACTGGTAGTTTAAAGTCTAGCAGCAATTCTTCTTGTTTTAGCATAAACAAGCAAAATAGTCAGTTTAGCTGAACGTAAACAGTTTTCAGAGAGCCTCAATTCTCCTGAAACGTACCCACCAGAAATCCCAAATAAGCACCTTGATGTTAGACTAATTGGCAGTTTGTTGTCCAAGTTTTTCAAATTTACGTTCTCAAGCTCCCTCAGTATTTTTTTTTTTTTTTTTTTTTTCCCCCCCCTCAAAGTTTACAAAACTAATCTGGGGATTTCCAGCTTGAGCAAAGCTTGTACAGGAAATCAAGATGAAATGTCCGAGAGTCTATCTGCGTCATCAGCAGTTCCCTCTGTTTTGCAGTCGCATACATGTTTTCTTCCAAGGATACAGACTGTGCGCTCTGGTATTAATTGTGACTCCCTCCAGTGGTGAGTTACAGCCAGCAAGACTAACAACAGCGTTGATGGCAAGAGTAAAGGTGTCAGCAAGGCGGAAGAATGCCTTACAAGCTGCCATAATGGAAAAAAACTGCAAGTTACTAAATGCAGGATAATGTATGCCAGGGAAATGTGTTAATTAGCCTAAATGAAATGAAAGTATTTGGGCTTCACCTAAGACTTAAGATTTATTTTTTTATGGCTTGATTTTCATTTAAAAATATATTATCAACATTTAAATTATCAACATATTTTATTCAGAACTTGTTCAAAAGTTAAAGGGATTAAACAGTAATCAATGCATCAGTATAGTACAATTTGAACCATGTCAGTCAAAATGCAAAAGTGAATTCATGTTAGTGAGAAAATCAAACTTACTCCCACCTGAAGCTATCCTACTTTATATGCACCCATTGTGCAATTTATCAGGAAAACCTGTTCAGCTGCTTCCTACTGTAAATCTTACCAGCCAATCACGTGGCAGCAACTAATGTAGACATCGTCAAGATGACCTGAGGTTCAAACTGAGCGTCAGTGACTTTAAACATAATATGGTTGTTGGTGTTAGATGTGGTGGTCTGAGATTTTCAGGAGTTGATCTACTCAATTTTCTCTCAAGCTCTCTTTTCTTTAAAAGCATAATTGTCTTCATAGACGTTGATATTGATAGTCTGTGTTCTCTATTTATTTAGGTGCTAATTTTATCTTAGCGTTTTCCTCTTACATACTTTGTAAATGCACTTCTGTCTACTAGTGAAGTTAAGTAAAGTCTGGATATTTACATTACAACAAATCCTTTAACTATGAATGCTTTAGGAATTTTCTGTGGGTGAAAAAAGTCTTAATGCAAGAGTTCAAAGAAGAATGACCAGAGTGCTAAGGCTGCAATTCACAGGCTCACCAAAACTGGAAAAACATTGCCTTTCAATTTCTGCTTCAGTATTTAGATGGTAGGGTCAGTATTAGTTGTTCAGACTGCTGGTTTTGTAACAGTGATGGAGAGATTTTATTGGGACTCTTTTTACCAATTGAGCATCTTTTGTGCCATCGTCTGATGGCTGCTTGCAGCAGGATATCTTACATGTCGCGAAGCTCAAATTATCGCAAATTGTTTTCTTGAACATGACAGTGAGCTGACTGTACTCAAATGGCCTCCAGAGTCACCATCCAGATCTCAGTCCAACAGAGCACCTTTTGGATGTGGTGGAATGAGAGATTGACGTTGTGGATGAGCTGACAAAAAATGCTATCATGTCAATATGGACCAAAATCTGTGACGAATGATTCCAGCACCTTGTTGAATTCATGCTCTGAACCCAAGAGGAAGTCCAACCCAGTGCTGTATCTAAGAAAGCCACCATTTACTGTCACAAATTAGCAGATATGGGAAATATCAAATTTCTATCACAAACACTTTAGGGGAAGCTGTTAGAACAACACACCGCATACTAATACATCACATGTTAATGTACCACATAAAACTTTATTCCATACAAAGAAGAACTGTTTTTCCAAAAGCAGAAGTGCTATAAGGAACAATCCCCGCTATCACTCTGATCATCAAACTGCCTGGAAAACTCTCAGTCAACAGCAGGATGTGATGTTTCACGCTTCTTCAAGCTCCACCAGCACACCGTCACAGTCTTTAGGATGGAGAAACATGACCGGTTTGCCGTGAGCACCTATCCGCGGCTCCGCCGAAAGCATTCTGATGTTCTTGGTTTTTAGGTCGGCTATCGCAGCGCTAATGTCGTCTACCTGCAGTCATAGGGGGAACAAAACATTATTGTTCAATTCACTTGTTATCATTAGGGTTAAAAATGATCACAACTGAGTGTCAACTCTCACAACACTGCAAACTAACGCACAGGCCCCCCGTGCTGAGTCACATAATTTGGGACAAGCTGTTACTGGATTTATAGGACCAACAACAACACTGACATTTGTTGTCTGACATGAACACATAACACTAACAACAAACTCTACTACGCTCACACAGGCCCTAGATAATTATTCCTAAATACTTTTTAGCTTCGATACACGTAGTAATTATGATTTCTGCAAAAGCTGAACTGCTTTTTTTTTAAAAAAAGTTATTTTACTTTATGTAATTTAGTAAATTCATAATATTACATTAAGCCATTCTCATGGTCAGTGATGACAATTATTTTTCAGTTTTTAGTGTTTGAAGATGTTCATTTTTAGATTAATTTGTTAGTTTCCGTCTTTTAAATTATTACCTTATGATGGGTATTTGTAAATTCAGAGTAGATCTTAAAATAAAAACACAAGCAAAGATAATCGTGTGGTCATCCCAGGTCATATCATATGTATTTATATGTACCAAATAGCCATACTACTACACCGATTCACATAACAAATGCAACACAACAGTTTCTTATAAATACCATGTCACAGTCTGAAGGAAAGCATGTTTTCTTTGGGCCATTCTGACTCACAATCCTCATAAAACACGAGAGAAAGATTTTGCTGCAGCACATCCTCAAAGCAAAAGGAAAATGAATATGAACCAGAAGGCAAGGATTGGCTCATAAAACACTAGTGCAACTAATGCTTTATGCCAGTACACTCATTCCTTATATACACGTCACAGTAGACATAGACAAGAGGAAGTATGAAAATGAACAAATTCTGAATTCAGTCTCGTGAACTTGGGGTCACGTGAACAGATAAATGAAGCAGAGTCATGCAAAAATGTAATAAAAGCTCTCCCCTGTCATCGCCGTCTCACCTCGATACAAATGTGATGCATTCCTCCTGACTTGTTTTTCTGCAAGAAGCCCGAGATGGGGCTCTTCTCTCCGAGAGGATGGAGCAGCTCCAGCTTGGTGTTGCCGAGCTCCACGAACACAGTGTAGACACCATGATCGGGCAGGGGCACCTTCTCACTTACCGTGGCCCCCAGCACGTCCCGATACAGCTCCGTGGCCTTCTCCATGTCGGGGACAGCGATGGCGATGTGGTTAAGCCTGCCCAGCTTCCACAGAGACGCGGGAACACCCTGATGGAGGGGCACCGTTGTTGAATGTGCCCTCCAGAGCGCGACCCGAGAGCATCTGGAAACACCCGCCGCTAAATATGAAATTAAAATACAAAGAGATCAGCTGTGTTTGTTGTTTCTACTCGAGTAGCTTTGATGTATGCTGTATGTTCTGGACCAAGTCCCGAGTTACATTAATGATATTTAAATCCTATGCGTCCTGCACTCCCAAATCTGTTCTCCTTTGTGTGACTGACTGTTGGTTTTAGATCATATAAATAATAAATAGACCAATCTTTACCGTTTGGTGTTCTGTTTGATGCTTGCTGACTTAATGTAAACATGAATAACACTAATTTGTGAAAGAAAGACTTTTCAAATTAAAATGATTAGGCTTCCCTTCCTCCTACGACTAATCGACAGGGCAATTCCTTAAAGACGACTTTTTAAAGTAAAGTGCTCATACTGAGCATAAAATAATGCCCTCATTTTGGCTTTTCTGCACCTTACCATTCATTCAACTCAATAAAGTGTTTCATACTTTCAAATGACTTTATTGAGTTATGCTGTAAAATAAACCTACCGTCTCCTTATGAAGACATAGTTTTTTACTGATGATACTTAGTTTTTTATTTTAAAGCTGAAGTATCAGGAGTACATATCAATAATCTTTGTTTTATTACTATAAGAGCAATCTTTTGTTTCCCAGGCCATAATCTTGTTTTTGCCTTCATTGGAGGTCATCTTTGAATTCTTCTCCTAGTCTCAGACAAGGCTTAATCCCTGTCTGGGAAACCTGCTGTTTATGTACTGAACATATACATATAATTAGGTTATTAGGTCAACCCTGTGTTTCAGAGAGTAAATAACAGTACCCATATAATTTTACACACATCTCCTTACCATACAAAATTCTTGGAATAAAATGCTCCAGTGTGAAGTTACTTCATGGTATGGCTTTGGCTTAAGTTAGTAGTTAGGAAGTTAATAGGTACCTTGGCCAAGTATCTCTGTCTGTAAACGCAACAGCTTGAAGTGAATGATAAAACTTTGTAGGGGTGTAGCATGGGGTCATGTTAACATGTTTACATCCACCAAGGTCAGCGTAATGATTTATTGGTCACAAATTCACAAAAAGCTTTGTAACTTAGAAACTATAATTCTTATGATTGTCCTGTGTATTGTAAACATGGAGAAAGCAGATTGTAAAGATTTCAAATGTGTCACATTTGACCTCTGACCTCTCATTCAAGGTCAATTGATTGATCAATTGATAGCCTGATAGACTGAATTGATTGAGAGGTGATAACAACGCTATATGGAGCTATTTTATTGGAAAACAAAAGTAAAAACTAGTTTGATCAAAGACTTTTTTCACCTGACATGTATTACTAAACATTTTAGGAACCACTGAAATGAATGCTACACATGTACTATATCCACATAAAAAATGATACTCAAAATTATGCCAACTATATTCAAATGGGTTTCAACGCGACAAATAACAAAAGCCTTTTTGCTGCACTACAAACTTCCTAAAGTATATTTGAAAAGAACAAAGAAAATAACTGAATACAGAGACAATACAATACTACTCCCTTAAAAGTAAATACTGTATACAGAGTGAGCTGCCTTGGCGGAGGTTTGCGCTTTTTGAGTGCTTCTGGTTCATGATGTAACGTAAACATTGTTTATGTTCGTCAACTTTGCGGGCTCGTTTGAGCTTCCGAAAAAGATTACAGCTCACTATAACGAAGCTTAGCAGCATCGTTTATCGTTTGCAGAACAGTGAACTTAATAGCGAAAATTTCGAAGCTGAATAATTGTTGACACAGACCTGCAACCTTCAGCACGGCGGACGCCATGTTCGTTCCCCGGAACCAAGTGGCAGGTACAGAGCGGTTTCTCGGTGAGCCTGTTTACGTGCGACACAGACAGCCACACATGTGGGGACAATCATGGCTAGTGGAGATGTGTTCGGTGTTCTGGAAGAGTGTGTAAAGAAAATAAATGCCAACACAGCACAGCCAGAAAATTTCCTCAGGTAAGTGTTTGTTGTTTGCGTTGAGTAATTTTTTTTTAATCTTTTGAAGAAGCTGTTAAATATTTTTATAAATTCGCTCCAGCTAGCTGAAGCTAACTGTAGTGTTAGCACAGCATTAACACATTTACCTGACAACACGTTTATACGTCGAGGTTTTGGTAAGATATAAATGATTAGGCGAGTTTCTCCTTTTTGCTTCATGTAGAAACATTTAGTCGCTTTATGTTCCTAAAATCAGCTGGCTCACGTCTGCATTTGGGGATTGCTACACCTTTAAACAGATATTCATGGTATGAGCGTATCCAACTGCAGTAACATTTATGCTCATAAAATAAAAGTTAGCTCATTACTGTAAGCTGTCTGTAGAGCTACGTAAAAAAAAGAAAAGAAAACAAAGATGATGTGCTTGTAATAACTGACGTGTTAGACTACCAACTGCTGTGACACACCAGATGTTTATTCATTGCATATCATGTTTGTCAATCCCGATTTAGACTCAGAAAGTCCACACCTGTTAGAAAATGTAAAACTTCAAATGTCTTGAATGAAGTAAATATCTAGTATATGCATTTGTGCACACAAGTCTGTGTTGCCGTATTTCAAATGGGGGTTAAAACCCCTCACCAAACGGGAGAAAACTTGTATGAATAAAATGGTGGAGAAGCCCTACTGAATTTCCACAATCAGACAGGCAAGTTTTTCCCAACAGAACAGGACTGATTCCACAGGTTTGCCATAGACGGCACATCTCAAAGCCCAGTTGTCAAAAAAGGCCTGAGCTCTTGGTGCTGGAGCTGCTTAAGCAATTTAACAAATAAGCACAATGCTGTTTGGGTGTGGGAGGCCTGGATAACACACACACACACACACACACACACACACACACACACACAGAGCACAGCGTTTTCTTGAGGAGCCCAAAAGTCGGCGTAATACAGGAAAATTGTTAATCAATCCCAAATTGTGGCATTTCATTGCTTTTTGGAGTGGCAACTGTAGTAATTTATGCCGAATGCTACTGCTGCAGCCGTAAAAATATGATTTTCTGTATCACATTTTCACTTCATTCTGAGCTACTGAAACGAGAGAAGAAAATTGCTGAAAAGTGGCAAAATGTGCACTTCTAGACTGTATGTGGTATAGTAGTGATCTTAGAGCCAGCCCAAAACCACAGGCCACATCATCCCATGGCAACTAAATCAATAATTTGAAGGATGAAACAGTCCCATGGGGCAAGTTGCTGCCCCAAGTGGAAGAGTTTAAGCATGAATGAGGGGAGGAGGAGACTGGCAGATGGATTGAAGCGGCATCCGCAGTGATGCGGATAGTCGTCAGTTTGTTGTGGTGAAGAGAGAGCTGAGCCTAAAAATGAAGCTTTTGGATTACCGATCGATTTACATTCCTGCCCTCACTTATGGTCATGAGCTCTGGGCGGTGACCGAAAGAACGAGGTCACGGATGTGATTGCGCCCATCTGGATAAGCTGCAAGAGGTGGCCGTGGTGAGGGAAGTCTTCTCTGATTAGACTGCTGCCCCTGCGACCTGAACCCAGATAAGCGGTAGAAGATGTATGGATGAAATGTAGTGGTTTTGTTTTTGTACCAACACATTAACAAATAAACCACAGACTTTCATCCAATTCAGTTATTTAATAAAAACAACAACAACGAATTTCCCCCCCAATATCACATCATAAGACATACCTGACTAATTCTGTGTCTTTTCATCTTTGCAGCCTTCAAGATGAAGTGGCAACAGACTTTACCTCCATCACTAAGACTCTGTATGACCTCCACAAAGCTCAGGAACCTGGACATTATACAGGAAGCCCGCTAGCTCAGCTGGTTGTGGAAAATTTTGATGAAGAACAGATTTGGCAGGAGCTAGAGCTGCAGAACAAAGCTGTACTGAAACACTTTAAAAACGCCATAGACGAAGCTTTAGCAGATGAGACGTTAACTGTGCTGGAGGAAGAGGAGCAGGAAGAGAGTGGTCAAGAAGAAGAAGGAGCATCAGCAGATGATGATGACGATGAAGAAGAAGAGGAGGAGGAACAAGAATTGGAACCACCGAGACGGACAAAGAAAATGGCTGTGGAGGAAGACGATAACACAGAGGATGACTCTGATTTGGATTTTGATGTGGATGCTCTGGAGAAAAAAGAGAAACAGAAGAAGGATACAGGAAGGAAGGCATCCAAAGCAAAAGTGGTGCCCTCTGAGGTTGATGATAAGTTCTTTAAACTGTCAGAGATGGAGGCATTTTTGGATGATATGGACAAGCGCGAGGGAAAGGAGGATGAAGATGACGTAGACTATTTTCGGGATCTGCCCTCAGATGAGGATGATGATCTTGACCTAGAGCAAATCATTTCCACCAAAAAGCAAAAGAAAAATACTGTATGTAACTTATCACACATTTTCCACTCATTTTTTTTGCCTCCCAATAGTTCAAACTACAGCAAATATGTTGATTGTTCTTTATACCGACAGGTGAAGAGCTCCAGGAATCTCAAGTACAAGGACTTCTTTGACGCCGTGGACAGCGAACCAGCAAAAACAGACGACCCGTCAGATGGAGAGGATGACAGCGTGGATGAAAGCCAGGAGGAAGGTGAAGAAGTAATAGATGACGACTATGATGGCGAAGAGGAGGGTGATGATGAGTAAGTGCAATCAAAAATTATAAAACGTGCAGTTATGTGTGGGAGAAGTCAATTTCACCATGTTCGTGTCTGCACTTTGGCAGGGAAGAGGAGAGGGGTCAGTCTAGGTCGTCTCATAAGAAAGTGACCTTTAATCTCTCGGATGATGAAGACAGCGAGGGAGAGGATGTGGAGGACATTTTGGGAGGAAAAGCCAAAGGCTCAGCCAAGTCTGAAGCAAAATCATCGTTTGAGAAACGGCAAGAAAAGGTAAATGAAATGCAACTGAAACGAGGTTTTAGATGTCTCTGGTTTGATTAACATATCCAACACAGCAAGTTGGAGCAAGTTTTTTAATTTGATTCCAATTTAACCCTGTTTGACTTAAGAGGATGCAGCTGTAAGCCCTCCAGAATAATAAAAAGCAAAATAAAGTGTTAAATCACAAGAGGACTGAGGGTGTGCTCACACTAAGTGTGGTTGTCTTGTATCGTGCTTGCTCTTTCATGCACTTAAAACTCTTAAAAGTGCTCTTGTAGAGCACAGTTCATAATTCTAGGATGCATGTGTCCTCTCACATGTGTTATAGATGTATTTAAAAGGCCCCATTAAACTTGCATTCTTTTGAATGGCCCCCAGGTGGCATAGTTGTGGTTGCAGAAAGACTTAAAATCCTATTCAAGTCTACAAGTAAATGAACCTCTGTAAACACTTTGCTGATTAATTTTGGTCATTGTGTTTGTCAGAAAGGAGAATTATCCAGGTTATGCTCATTGGCTTGTGATTGACAGCTTATTAGGCGATTTACTTGTGGTTTCACAGTCAGATCCACCCCTCATCTCATCTGGTTTTAAAACACCGAGATAGCAAGGGTGAAAACTCTCATTTCGAGGTATCAGGAGTTCAGAAACCAGTGAATGATGATGTAGTAGTTGCATCCATCTGTATCAGGCCTGAGTTGAACTAAACAGTGGAGAGCAGCGATCACACTTGACGAATGAACTAGAATTTGGGGGTTCAGGCACGATACTGATTGCTTTGTGTGAGTACACTCTTTAAATCTGCCGGAGTGCTAATACCACTTTTTGTTTGTTTGTTTATTTGTTTTGAAATCATAAATTTCAGATTCTTGCACTATAGGTGATCCGATAGTGTAAATTTCCCAACGTATCACATTAGTGAACGGCGACCTTCACTCTTGTTGGTAGTTGCTTCAGAGTGGAGATTAGTTTAACTCCTTACCTGCCTCCTTCGATTGAATGTCTCACCTGTACCTGAAGGAGCACAGATCATGGGTACCCAACATTGACCCAACAGGGCTGATTTTTAGTTCACTGTTGGTGACTGTGCAATCCTGCATTTGCTGTAACCTGCAGATGTCCCAGAAGATTGAAGAGCTAGAGAAAGCAGCTTTAGCAGAGAAACCCTGGCAGCTGTCCGGAGAAGTAACTGCACAGACCCGTCCTGAAAACAGCATGCTGGAGGAAGACGTGGCGTTTGAGCAGACGTCCAGGACGGGTTAGTGACCACCCAGCACCTCCCAAACTCCCACTCTGTTTGTGCATGCTTTAGTTTGAATAATTAATAGCAGCCTTATTATGTCAAATCATAGAGTAAAATTTCTCATTTGTTTTTTCAGCTCCTGCAATCACAGAAGAAACTACACTACAGCTGGAAGACATCATCAAACAGAGAATTAAAGACCAAGTTAGTAACAGTAACCAGCATTTTTTTATTATTATTATTCATTTTTTTATATTACCGTATTTTCACGACCATAAGGCGCACTGTGCTAAAAGGCGCAGTCTCAGTTATGTGTGCCCTTACTGTATTTAACACACACATAAGGCGCACT